GCATTTGAGAGCATCGTGTCTTAATGTAGTATGGACTGGTCATCTTTATGTCGCCCGTCAGCCTTTGTTTTTTTTTCCTGATTTTTAGTTGATGTTTGTCTTATCTGTCTATGTAGTATTTCTATTTAGTATAGTATTTAAGATTTATTTTATATTACTTTGGATGTAAACTGCCCAGAGTACTGTTTACCACCAGTGCATACCAGTTAAATAAATAAAATAAATGTTAAACACTAATAGTGATAGGATGCTACCCTATGGGAGAAGGTTCTTTTGATTTCTCTAGTGACAGTGGCTCCCTTGAAATTCAACAAAAGAATCTTCAGTTTTGAAAAACAGCAACCATTTCTTTTGGTCCATGATCTTAAGTAATGAGGTAGAGCTTTTCGATTAGCAATTGATGGTGGACAGCAGCATATGCCACTGTAAGCTCAACAAATGCTGCTCTAGCTGTTTTCTATGTTTCAAAACCATCTTCTGTATGCTGTGTTACATTAAATATTTGAGCTATACCGCTCTTGCTAGGTCTAAAGCCTGCTTGTTCTGGAATTAGAAAAGGTTCAATTTTAAGGACTAGATAGTTTAATATTGTTCATTCAAACACTTTGTATAAATGGCATAGTAGGAATATTGGCCTGTAGCTTTTGGTGTCTGATGGTTCTTTGCCTGGTTTCACTATAGCAGTTACTTTAATCTTCTCTGCCATATTTTGGAATTTGTTTGCTTGTCCAGCAGTTGAAGGAACCATTCAAATGTTTAATTTGTTTGATCTGGATATCATTGAGTTCCAATGCTTTGGCATTTCTACACCTTGTGGCTTCCTCTAGTTCAGCCAATACAAAGACATTAGAAAGTTAGTTGGATTTGCCCTGAATTTCCCTTTGATATTTTATTTTTATTATTTTTTTTGCCAGGAGCAGTCAGTGTGCTATTTGGTTGGGGGTTATGTTTCCATAGTTTCCTTTTGTTTGAATTGTTAGTCATTCTTTTCAGTAGTCTCCAAGTTTTCTAGCTGCTTTTTGCCAGGTCAAGGTCTTAGTGTCCATCCAGTGAGTTATTTTTGTTTCTGTAAGAGTCAAGTTCAAATTTCTTACAGCTTTTACTATATATTCACTAAAAGGATTGTACAGTATTTGAAGTGTGAAATATAATCCAGTTATTTGAGTGTGTTTCCAGAGTGAGACTTGGTATGTAGTTGATCCAGCATCCTCTTGGAATGGAGGCACGAGAACATTGCAAAATGGAATTTATAGATTGATCATTTTTACCACAGGTGGTGTAATGGTAAATCTGGAAGTCCAAGTACTCATCCTGATGGTCCCCATAGCTACCCATCTGAAGGGGAGTACAAAAATGCAGATGAATGAATCGGTCCATATCAACAAATGAGGAATAAGCTTAATGACCGTTAATTGGCCATTCAAAACCAACCCATACTCAAATAGTTTGTATTACAATAGGGACGGCCTACAACAGGATGCGGTTCCTCCAGGTGTACCATGTCTCTCCTAGCTAGTATGTGGATTTGAACTAAGCTCAGAGGGAAGGGTGAAGCCTCAGAGAGTGGTAGAAGATCATGTCTCTGCTACTCACAGAAGAGAAAAGAGATCAGAGAGAAGCACCCATCAAGAGAGTAGGAGAGAGGGAGGTGTGAAGAAGTGAGAAGACTTTCATGTACATTGGTGCCTCGACTTACGAACATCCCTACTTACGACCATTTTGATTTATGACCAGCTCCTGCTGCAAAATTTTGCTTCTACTTGCAATCGGAGCTTCCACTTACGAACAGAAAAAGGCAGGGAAAAAAGGCGGGAAATTCAAATTTCTAACTGTAGGTAGCGACGAGGCTGCTTCTTAGTAGCTCTTTCACCCCAGCAGGTAGAGAGTGTGTGATCGGAGGAGGCTTGGGACTGCCTCACTTCTGCTTCTGAGTGAGTGTGGCTGCCTGGCAAGGTAAGGTGCTGTTTTCTGCTTTTTAAAAACTCTTCTGGGTCTTTTCAGCATGGTTTTGAGCTTGGAGGGGTTATGTTTCTGTGCTGTGTCTTGGGGGGTTGTTTGTTTTTTGTCCCCCCCCATTTCCGACGGGTCTTGGGGAGTTTTGTTGCTTTTTGGATTTTCCCCCCATTTCTGATGGGTCTTGGGGGGGCGTTGGTTGCTTTTTAGGAGGTTTTTCCCCATTTCTGATGGGTCCTGCACGCTTTCCTTGCTTTTTCCTTTGTTTGCATTTCCGACCTGCCCCTTTTGTTCTCTGTGCATTTCCGATCTGCTCCGTTTGTTTTCTGTGCATTTCCAATGGGTCTTGCACGCTTGATTGCTTTTCTCCCCCCCCCTTGGGCGGAAGGGATTAATCATGTTTCCAATGAGGCAGTGATTTTTTTTGGTGATTTTTTTTTCCTTCGGATGGAATGGATTAATTGCATTTCAGTGCGTTTCTATGGGAAATGGTGTTTCAGCTTACAACCATTTCGAGTTACGTCCATCTTATGGAACGGATTATGGTCATAAGTCGACGCACCATTTTATAAAGTATGAAAATGGTGAAGAAGCCAAACCCCTGTTTTAATGATGATACTAATGGGAAAGTAAAGTTCAACCTAAAGTTGTTCTAGAATTGTTGTCAGGGAGCGAATTGGATTGTGAATATGGGAGAGGAGTCTGTTGTAACGTGGTCATGTTTCTTTTAAGACCACTTCAGCCGAAAGAGCCCAAGGCCTACGTGAATATCTTGGATCCTGACTGGATCAGAATCACAATTGCTGTCTTGGATTTATGTGAAAAGGAGAGTTAGCTGGATGTCACTATATTTGTGGTGGTGAACCGCAAAATACTGACAACCACAATAGTGTTCTCTCTCTCTCTCTCTCTCTCTCTCTCTCTCTCTGTGTGTGTGTGTGTGTGTGTGTGTCTGTTTCTGTGTGTCTCTCTCTCTGATGGTGGAGCAGATACAACTATGAGATATCATAGGTAAATAGCCAGAGAATCAAATTTTCTCCTAGAATGTCTCACTGTAAGATTTCTAGGATAATTATATTATTATTTGACCTATTATATTAAGGAGCCTCATGGTGCAATGGTTAAGTACCGTTGTCAAGTCTCTGCTCATGACCTGAGTTTAATCCTGACGGATTCAGGTAGCTGGCTCAAAAGTTGACTCTGCCTTCTATCCTTCAAAGATTACCCAGCTCAATTGGGAGAGGGGGGAGAGAGCGACAATGTGTCCTGCATAGTTATTATTGTACACTGCCCAAAGAGTGCTTTAGCTCTAGGGGGCAGTATATAAACAGTACACTTAGTTTTTATCATCTATGAAAATCTTCAAATTAGAATTTTGTACAGCTGTTAATACTTGGTTTTCTGTATAAGTGCTGTTTTGTGTGACAGTTGCCAAATATTTCTCCATATAACGCAGTTTGTGTAAACTCCTTTGTTCTTTCATTGTATTCTTGCACTGTAGTTCAGGTTTTTAATAAAAAATCCCAGCTGCTCAGTTTCTGAGTTAAGCAAAAAATGATATAAGTATATAGGCAACATAATTCTTACATTTTTAAATCTCTTGTTAGTTACTTGAACTGTGATAGAACGCTTCCTATAGCCTTTAAGCTGCAGGTCCTTCTCGCTGTTGGATAAAACAGCAAGGTTTCAGAGTTCATTTTTCACATTAGTGAATTGTTCAAATGCTCTTTTATCTTAATTCAGTTTTCCACATGTGGTTAGGTAGGGTCTTTCAAGGTCAGCACAAAGAATGTAAGTATAATAAGTTTACACTCTAAAACGTTTAAAGGCAATTACCATGTTTCCCTGAAAATAAGACCTAAGCTGAAAATAAGCCATAGAATGATTTTTCAGGATCCTCGTAATATAAGCCGCCCCCAAGAATCAGCCCTAGTTAAAAGAAACCCTGCCCTCCACCATTGTACAGCAACCAGAAGAAGATATGACTGTGTTTGAATAAATGTGGATTGTAGCATGTAAATTAGACCACTGCAATGCACTCTCCATTTGAGATTGATGCAGAAGCTTCAAATAGTGCAGAATGAGGAAGCCAGACTTCTCCGTGGGATGAGAAAATATCAGCATATTTCCCCCACTCTGGCTGCCTTGCTTTGGCTGCCTGTTCGTTTCTGCATTGATTTCAAAGTGTTAATGATGACATATAAAGCTCTAAACGGTTTTAGGATCTCGATATCTAGTGGAACGCCTCCTCCCACCTAGATCTATCCGAATCACTCGTTCAGGAAGGGCGGTTGAGGGGCCTAACGCTGAGAGAAAGAACAAGAAACCAGGCCTTCTCGGCAGTGGTCCTTCACCTTTGGAACAGTCTGCCCCCAGAGATCTGTCTGGCTCCCTCGCTGGATGTTTTTAAGAGCCACCTTAAGACCTGGCTCTTTAGGCAGGCTTTCCCTCCTGTCATCACTTGATTATTTTTATCTTTTCACCATCTTGAACAATATTACTATTGTTGTTCTCTATTTTATTATATTGTTTTTATGACATTTTTAATTGTTAGCCGCCCAGAGTAGACGTGGGTCTAGATGGGGGGCTATGTATGTATGTATGTATGTATGTATGTATGTATGTATGTATGTATGTATGTATGTATGTATGTATGTATGTATGTATGTATGTATGTATGTATGTATGTATGTACGTACGTATGTATGTACGTAGGTACGTACGTACGTACGTACGTACGTACATACATACATACATACATACATTTTGTCGCATCATACTGTATTATGGGAAGATAATGTCTATACAGGAATGGTTGTAGCTCATGAACCAGACAGACTTGGCAACCAAGGGTAAATCAACACCAAATTCCTTTATCTAGATAGTCCTTTTTATCATCCTCATGGTGCAGGAAAGAAAGTGTCTTCCCTTTTCTTTAGAATTTTTTTTCAAATGTGTTATATATAAATTAATCAAGAATTCATATAAATGTAGTCATTTCTCTGTGGCTTTAATTGTAACTATGTTTTATTTTTTAAAAAAATTAGGGTTCCTGATTTTGTGAAAGAGAAGCGGTTTGGAAACTGGTTGAGAGATGCACGTGACTGGGCTATTTCACGAAACCGATACTGGGGGACGCCCATCCCATTGTGGGTCAGTGATGACTTTGAAGAGGTGGGTGTAAGAAGAGCTCTGAATGAATGAAGATTGCTCTGTTACACTTCATTTGTTTAAACTGTCCTTTGAATGTCACATGTTGTAGAGCAGAGGAACTTGAGAAGTAATGTGACTTGGAGGGCTTAGGTTTCTGCTGCAGAACATGATTAACTGCCAGTTTCAGGCAGCAGCCCCTTTCCTCCACCACTGCTCAAAAGGGAGCTGTTGCTGGAGTTTGGCCAAGCACTGTAGGGACAAAGAAACCGTTAAAATCAATCCCACTATGACTCTTATTAATTTTTAGAGGACTATAAACTGTCAGGCATTCTAACTGGTCAAATGCTACAATCCATCCATCCATCCATCCATCCATCCATCCATCCATCCATCCATCCATCCATCCATCCATCCATCCATCCATCCATCCATCCATCCATCCATCCATCCATCCATCCATCCAACTTCTTTTCCCTCCCCCACCCAATACTTTTTGAAAACAGTGTGTAGGGAGGAAGCCCACTCCAGACGGTGTTGACTATTTCTAACAGCCTGCCTATGAGAGATTATGTTTGGTGGCACTTCAGAATCTGTGTGCAGCCAATGGGGAAAAACAGATTTAAGCTGACCTTTACAGATATATTTTTGGCTAATGGTAGACAGGGCTCTGAAAGTGGACTGCTGCTGTCAGAATGTGGGAAGTCAGGCACTTCCCAGGTTGGTAAGAAGTGTCTTGTATTTTTTGGGCACAGCACATATGGGTCTCTTTCCTGGGGCACATCTGCTGATTTTTGAATGCATCTCATCCTACTTTTACATAATTCTAAGAGACAGTGTTGCTTTCTAGATAGCTGGTGTATGAAATGCAGCTAAAAAGTGATTCTTCTTCGTGGCCTCTGTGAATCACACCCTGGGTGATCTGCGCCTGCGCGGAGCCTCATTGGAAAGTTGTAGAGCTTCTACGGTAACAAAAACTACGTTAGAACAAGGCCCCTCCCCCCCTCATATAAGTACTTTGGTGCCAAGGCTCCCCTTTAAGTTTCTTTCAACCACCGCGTTGAGAGCCTCATAGTTCTGCTTCTGTGAGTAAAAGAGAGTTTATTCTTGATTCCTTCCTGTTATCAACCTTTTTTCCTTTAAACTTTTAGATCAAATTCATTATCAGATATTTTTTTCTTTTCTACTTCGCTCGGCCTCTGACTGCAGCACCTCTCCCAATCATTGTTTTTTCTCCTCAAATTATTTTCTCCTATTCATGGCCCCTTTGGGCCCCATTTAAGCACTGTGTGGTCTGTGATAACAAAATACCACTCTCCGATGGCTACACCAAGTGTTTTTTTTTGTTTGGGAGAGGCATACCAGATGTCCTCCTGCCAGCATTGTAAGAACTTCAAGTGCGGAGTCCTCCATTCTCGCTTATCCAAATTGAAACTCCTTGTTTAGGAGACCTGACCTCCTTGTAAGGCCACCTCACATACCAAAACAATGGAGAAAGCTCTTTCTGAAACCTCAAAACAACATCCATCGACTACACCATTACATTCCAAAGCTCCATCCACTTCGTCTAAAACTTCAAAAACCCATAAATTGAAGCACTCGATACTGAAATCCACGATATTAAAGCCCTCCACTAAACATCAAATGTCCACCGAAGCCTCTTCGGTTCCAGAACCTTCTCCGCCTAAAATACCTAAACAGCATAAATCTAAAGCTGCAGTTCTTTCTCAGCAGCCTCAGCAAACCGCCGAATCAATTTCTATTGGTTTGCCTTCTGACGATGATGGAATCCCCTCTCATCAACCCTGCTCCCAAGCACCGGAATGGGATGACAGTTGATCGATTAACATCTTCTTCTCCCAGTCCTCAACACTCTGTTCTTTCAAGCAATCCTTCCATAGTTGCTTCACCTGAGAGGGTCGACCCCGAACAACAACTAGAGACTATACCTTATTCAGTAACATCTGATCGTCCGCCATGACCACCTCATAGACTTCGGCCCCAACAGTCCCCGGAGCCATATATTTCATCACACGTGGCTCAGACCCATGTTCAACACTCTCACCAGGTTACCATTTTCCCAACAAGTGCTTGACCAGACAGACTGCAACTGCCAATCAGCCAGTTGCTCTATCCAGCTTGGCCATGCGTTCTCATGGCGGGCCTCGATCTCGACAGACATCGGTGTCGAAACAGCCATATCACCATGACCCACATCAACTCCAACCCTGCTCCCTACCTGCCACCTAAATGCAAGGCTTTTACAGCTCCAGCCTCCCGATATTTTCCCACTAATCCAGATGAGAGAAATCATTCCTCTCGCTTGGCATCTCCAGCGTCTATATACTCCACTGCTTTACCAGCTCATCAACAACCTCTGTTTCGACATCACCAAGACACAGCCTCTGATATGGATGATCCTCGATATCCATCCTGGTCCATGGGCACTCGTTCTGTTCCTCTATTTCCATTGCCTGATAGAACCAAGCCATTGAACTCGACATCACTATGACCCCGAGTTGACACAGACGTTCAGCCATATCAAATAATGTCCATGATCCTGGAGCTCTATTGATATCAAGAGATGTCGGATGATATCTCTTGATATTAAAAATCCTTGACACCGACAAATGCTCATGGACATGCCACCTCCATTGACATCAAGCCACAAACGTCAATACTATGACACTCAACCTATCGACACTGAAGTCAATCGACAATCTGTCAACTCCCAATGTGATCCTGATTATTACGATCACGGATCCAGACAGATGCTGTTAGTGTTACTTACCTCACCGGAATCGACTTTGTCGATGCTGACCCACCATCACCGGTGGAAGATTTTCAAACTTACACCCAACTTATGATCCATATGGCTAAGCCTCTCAATCTCCAAGTCCACTGTCCTTTGACAGAACTGGCCGATCATCTATACGACCCAATCTCTAAAGGTACAACTACTCCAGTACACATCTCAGTGCTTCCGTCTCTACTCAGCAGTGCTCAACGATCCTGGACAAAACCAGCCTCTTCCCATACGATGTCTAAACAAATCAATAACCTCTGTAGAGTCCATGATCCTGGAGCTCTATTTCTTAAAAAACAACCAGCTCCAAACTCTATTTTTGTTGAAGTGTCACAATCCAGATCTCAACATCAACAAACCCTCGTACCAGCAAATAAAGACAGTAGAAAGATTGATTCAATGGGAAGATGGCTTTACTCATCAGCAGCATTCACCATGCATGTTGCTAACTACCAGGGAGCCATGGGTGCATATCAACGTTTGCTTTGGGACAACCTTTGTCGAATATTTACCAGGAGAAAAAAAAGTACTCGCCCAAACCTTTCAACAAGAGGGTCTTTCTGTTGCCAAATGACATATGCTTTCTGCTAGGCACACGGCAGATGCCACAGCAAAGTCAACGACCACTTCAGTAGCCTTATGACATTTCTCTTTGCTAAGGACAGCTGGCTTGGCTGAGGATGCCAGCACACTTATCAAAGACCTCCCATTTGAAGGTGCAGAACTCGTTAATGCTGAAACCGATGATATTTTGGAAAACATGCAAAAGAAAAGATCAGCAGCTAGATGTTGGGGAGTTTATCCATCTTACCAACAATGCCCCCAACAAAAATGGAGACAACAGTACAACCCATATCAAAAATTCCAGTTCTGTACCTGGCAATGTGGAGGATTCTGCCTCAATAATGAACGTCCTCCGTCAATCAAAGAAGCCATCCAGTAGAAAGGCTTACCTGTAAAAATGGAAGAGTTTCAAATCTTTCACTGAAGCGTCTTCATTGCCTTCTATCAACCCATCACTTGCTACTGTTCTACGTTTTTTGCTTCATCTCAAGTCTAGCAGCCTTTCCCTCTCTTCCTTGAGAGTTTACATCTCTGCCATAGTTTATCACCCCCCTAAATCAGCAGCTGATTTCTTCAAGCATACAACATTGAAATGTTTTCTTAAAGATCTATCTCATATCTACCCAGATACCCCCCCGCCTCCCCCGCAGTGGTCACTAACACTAGTACTGCAACAGCTTACTAAAGCTCCTTTCAAACCTTTAGCTTCAACTTGTTTATGGCTACTTATCTTTAAAACAGTTTTTCTTGTTGCCATCACCTCAGCTCGGTGAGCTAGTGATTTAGCGGCCTTACATCACAACTATCCTTATTTACTGTTTTTTTCCAGACAAATTCGAACTATCCATGGATATTTCTTTCCTCCCCAAAGTCGTATCTCAGTTCCATCTCTCTCAGCCATTTATCCTTTCTTCCTTCTTCCTGTCACCGTCGACAACTGTACAAAGAATCCTCCGTACTTTAGACGTTAGGCAAGGCCTTGCCTTTTAATCCAACACATCCAATCTTTCAAGTATTCACCTCGACTGTTCATAAGTCCAACCACCTACTAAAGGTCACCAGGTGACGTCTCAAACTATATCTAGGTGGGTCGCTTCAACCATTTACCCCACGTATCAGCTGGCACGCAAACCAGTTCCTCACTCTACCAGAGCAGTGGCGACTTCTACAGCATTCCTACGTGACGTACCTCTTCCAGACGTCTGCGCCTCTGCCACTTGGGCACAGCCGTCCGCTTTCATCTGGCATTATAGACTTGATCTCCAGCAGAAGTCTGATTGTGGCCTTTGGATGTGCTGTTCTAGCTTCTACCTTGGTGTGACGCCCTGCCTCTGGGTAAGACATCTTTTTAGTTACCCAGGGTGTGATTCACAGAGGCCACGAAGAATGACAGGTTATCCACCTGTAATTGTAGTTCTTTGAGTGGATCTCTGTGATTCACACATCCCTCCCGTCCTCCCCACTGTCATGCCATTCTGCTTAATGTAGCAGTGTTGGACACAACTGAAAGGGGAGCCGTGGTGCCAAGGTACTTATACGAGGTGGGAGGGGCCTTAGTATAATGTGATTTTTGCTATAGCAGAAGTTCTAGAAGTTTCCAGTGAGGCTCCGTGCAGACACAGATCACCCAGGTGTGAATCACAGAGGTCCATTCAAAGAACTACAATTACAGGTGGTTAACGTGTCGTTTCTAGTTCCTTTTAATATTTGTAGTCTAATCTTTTCTAAGCCTTTTTTCCATTGTTAGAATTAAAACACATACTCAACTTTCTAGTTGAAAGCACAGCATCAAGTGACTTTGCAATTAATTCCATGCACTTGAATTCATGGTATCTAGTTTTATAACAATGCTTATTAGTAAAAATAACTGTAATTTCATATGTTAAACTTTTAACAGGTGGTGTGTATTGGGTCAGTAGCAGAACTGGAAGAATTCTCAGGAGTGAAAGTTACTGATCTCCATAGAGAATGGTTAGTGATTGTGGCAAAAGTAGGCCAAGATCAATTGATGCTTATTAATAGTTGTGTTCTCATGTCTTTGCTGGCTCTTTTGTAAAAATACAGCCTTCCTTTTAGAACCTAAAAATGTTGCAGTTCTGTTAGTCATCCTAAATTGTGTGAGAAAGAAAATCTCAGAGTTCCTTGTTCATTTTTCATCTGTGAGGGGCATGCTAGTGTCCCAGTCGTTACTCAGTTCAGTCTGAATGAGTTTCCCCTTTGTCTCCTCATGGTCAAAGCATATAGCATGATAATATGTTCCTGCATGCAGGGAAAATATCTTTCAGTTGTCAAATATGCGGTCAATCTCAAGGTTCTAGATTATTAAGAAATTAGCAATTGTATGAAGGGAAAAACAGATAACAATTAAAAGGAAAAGGAAAAGATGAAACAATTTGTTCTCTAACACTAATCAGATTTACTTAGAAGGTGGATGGATCAGCTGTGAGCCATAGTCAATTATAATAGGGAATAATTCCCATCTAGATGCAGATTTTTGGCAACGCGGACATGGTATGTCTAATGTGTACAGAGAGAAGCCATTGACACTTGGGAGTAACCTTGTACAAGTCACTCAGAATTTTGCAATGGGAAGAAAAACTATATGGGCAAGCCACCAACAAGACAACAGTATATATACAAGCAGGGGTGATTTGAGGCAGAAAAATGGCCAAAGGGCCTTTTGAGATTTCAGAATAAATTCTTTGTATGATAAATGGGAAAAGAGGAACAAACTTAGCAGCTAGTTAGCATGGCAAACCTTCAACAACCTAGCAACAACCTAGAAAAATGAAAGCAAAAAAATGAAGTAGAATAGATTCCAACTCCTTCTGGGAAAATAAGATCACGCTTGGGAGTGGGGGCATGATTCAAGCCATTGTTCATAGAGGATGCTTGAAATGTTGCAGATAGGCTTTCAACCATCATCATTCAATAGAAGAATGTAACGGTAACAGTACAACTTGAAAGCTGAATCACTTAAGCCCTTAAACTTTTGAACTATCTAATTGAAATGCTGTTTTTCAAATATGTGAAAAAGTACATTAAATACTCATCAAGCATCTCTGGAACTGGTTATTTAAGATTAATTTACTCCTATGGAATGGAACTGCAGTTGCTGACATATATATTTCTCCTTAGCGTTGATCATATAACTATCCCTTCACGCTGTGGCAAAGGTGTATTGCATCGTGTACCAGAAGTGTTTGATTGCTGGTTTGAGAGTGGAAGCATGCCATATGCCCAAGTCCATTATCCATTTGAGAATAAAAGAGAATTTGAAGACTCTTTTCCTGCTGACTTCATTGCTGAGGGCATTGACCAAACCAGAGGATGGTAATGTTTGTGACATTAACTTGGGTGAAATTTGACAGACAGAGAGCATTTAACAATCAGAATTATCCTAAAATAATATCAGTTTCACTAATCCTTTTCTTTTGGCTAGTCCTCTTTTTCTTTTTGTTTGTCTCCTATGGAAGATTGGATATCATCATGGCTGTCATTACTTTGGTTAATTGTTTGTATAATTTATAGAGACTACACAACTAATAAAGTTTCACATATATAAATTTATAAGTTAATAAATAAATGTTACTGCTATTTCAGATTTCTGAAAAAATGGCTTTAAAACTATAGGTTGTGAGCAGCCTTGGGTCTCCTATGGGGAGAAAGGTGACATATAATTTAAATTCATAAATATATTGTTGCTGTAATGCATTTAACAGGTAGATGTGTCTGCAGAAGATCCATAGCAAAAAGCAGCCATTTAGAATCTGTAATTAACAATCTGTCTGTGCCTGTTTGGCAGATGATGTGGTATAGATTTAGCTTGGCCAACAGGACTGGTGATAGCAACTTTAAGCCATTTAAGACTTCCCATTTCTGTTCTTTGATTCCCAAAGGCTTCACCAGGACTAAAGGGTTCCTAAGGGAGCCAAGGAGAGTGATAGGAAACTTCTAATTACCAGAATATGGCCATGGCTGATAATGTTGTCGTCAGATTTAACCGGCGTTTCCTGTACATTTCTGGATTTCAGGCTCTTGATGTAGGCAACAGTCATTGGTCATGAAAAATACTATTATTAATTCAGGAACAGGATTAAGGGGATTTGTATAAAAACACTATCCTTGCATGCTTATGGCAGGTTTAATTCTTTTAAATTGAAGTGCATGATGTGGCCAAAAATCCTAGCTGAAGCAGATTAGAAGCTAGTAAGCAGGTGGTAAAAAGACAAGTTAAGATGTTCCATGAAATCCTGCATAATAATAATGTGATTGTGTATGTTGAACTGCTTGATACATTTTATGATCCCAAGGCTTTTAAATGTGCTGGAAAATATCAGCTTGGTTTAATTAAAAAAGAGAAGGGACACAAAAGCCGAAAGCATTTTATTTTAACACCAGTCAGCCTAAAATCAACTGCTATCACTTTGTTTTTCAGGTTTTACACTTTACTAGTATTGTCCTCAGCTCTTTTTGGAAAGCCTCCTTTCAAAAATGTCATTGTAAATGGCCTAGTTCTTGCCAGGCAAGTATGGTATTAATATTATTATATTGTCTTTTTGCTGATGTTTTACTTCTTAGCTGTAGCTGTCAAGGGTTTTCTTGTAATCCTTGCTTGAGTATCTAACTATATCTGAACCATCATAATTTTACTCCAAAATGCCTAATCCTTTCAGAAGGGGTACAGATTTAATTATTCTTGGGTAGAAATTGAATGAGGTAAAAAGCTCACAGTAAGGTATAATCATGGGTTCGAAAAATTGAATATGGGTCACAAATGCTGTGATTATTCTCTACTTGTATTTTGTAGTACATTTATTGTTGTAAAAGCCTCTTGTTCTCCAATGGACCAATACTTCTTCTCATAAAAATGGTAGACTGATTTCCCAAGAATAGTTGAATTACTTATGAAACTTTACCAGTAAAGTATACATTTTGTTACTGCCAATGTTATTCTCTTCTAGTGATGGGCAAAAGATGAGCAAACGAAAGAAGAATTATCCAGATCCAGCAAGCATTGTAAACTCCTATGGGGCAGATGCACTGAGGTAGGACCTTGATGCCTTTTTCTACCCTATTAATGTCTGCAGGTTGTTTTCTTTTGTTATGTCCAGTAAGAGCCTGTTTTGCATGTTGCTGTTGTTTGTCCATTTGAGGTGCTGATTTATAAGTGTTTTTTTTTCTTCTTCTCACAATTGTGGGTAAGCTTTTTTAACCGCCTGGAAAAAAAACAGAGACTATATCTGTACACTTCTAACATGAATAACAATATATTAAGATTTAAGAAGAATAAATAGCCTCTGTTAAGAGGAGATGAGAGAAACACCTCTCATGAAAAATGGAGTAACACCTGAGGAATACTGAGGCATCTTGATAAAGTTGTGAAGTTGTCAGAAAAGTTTCATTTTCCAGCTTTCTACACATTCAGCCACTGGAAAGGGAAGGATGACAGTGCTTAGGGCAAGCTGATTAAAGTGGTTCACAGGAACATGTCAGCTGTGTTGCAGTAGGATGGTGTAATTATGGCCACTTGGCTGCTTAATTGTGGGTGTCATGCTTTGCATAGCATTTAAACAGAGAAAAATGAATCCCATATCTAAGTGGTTTATTCTTCAGGGATTTGTGTGTTGGAATTCTTGTTTATAGGCTTCATGGAAAAATAACAATGCATTTGCTTGGTAGCTATAGAAGCAGAAGAATGGTGTCTAGCTTCCAACACACTTTATCCTCTTCTGACAAGAGGCGGTGGTCAGCTGGTGTGGCCTATTGTGAAACATTTACTCCTCCCTAACGAGAGACCTTGAGGAAAATTTATTTGACATGAGGTGGTGGTCAGCTGGTGTGAATTGGACTATTGTGAAACATTCACTCCACCCTAACGAGAGACCTTGAGGAAAATTTATTGATTACTCATGTGAGAATGTTCAGAAGGTGTAATGTAAGGTTGTGTATAGAAACATATGGTCACCTGCTTTTAAGGTGTTTAGTAAACTTAGAGGAACAGTGTCTGCATCCTTTTCCACAGAAGTGAAGTAGATGAGGCAAGATGCTAGTTATTATTGTGTGGTGCAACCCTATATACACCAAAGACATTGTTGATTATATTCTAGTAGACTTGAGGAATTTGACAACTTTTGGTAGAAAAAGATTGAAATGGTTGCTGCATTTTTTTCTCCTTTAAAAATACCATCTTCTAAATGTGTGACTTGGTGGATAGAATATTTTATGTACATTTCTTGCTTCACCTAGTCCCAAACTCTGAAGATCATTTATTATTGTTTTTATTTCCTCAATTAAGATAAATATGTTTTTGTCTGCTGCCTTCCTGATACATATAAACTGATGGCTTATTTATAGATACTCTCTCTGTCATACACGCAGAGAATGTATAAGAGTGTGTGCTAGGTTCATTTAAGGAGAGAGCTCCAGTTGAGTTGTCTGAACTTATTTGAAGTACTTGATGTCAAGCGCTTGATGTGTTCTGTTTATAGAATAAGCTACTTCTGATTTTCTTGCGGTTTTTTCTCCCTCTTCTGTACTGAGCTAATTTAGCTTCTGTGGAAAAAGCTTTTTTTCTTATGCTAATTTTGATTAAGTGCTACAGAAATATCTTCCTCTGCTTATTGGTAAATGCAGTATTTTTGAAGAGCTGCATGCTTAAGCTGCTTAAGAAAAGTAGAGAGATGTGGATGGGAGTAGGGGTAAAAATAGAGAATGAGTTTATTGGTGGTCTTCAAATCACTACGTGAATAACAGGTGCCTCTCCAACCCCTGAAATCCTTTTTAGTCCTGGTTGATTAACTTAACCATTGTGTTTCTGCTACCCTTCCACTGCTGCTTCACTGAAAATTTATAGCCTAAATGTTACATTACTCCCTCTACCCACCCAAAACATAGGTAATTTAAGTATTTGGACCTCAGATCACTGTAGATTACCACAGTTACAGTGCCATTTTCATTATGTATGTTTTTATGGGAATGGAAGGTGGGGGTTGTGGGGTTTTGCTTCTTTGCATACCATCCAGAGTAGTGTGCATTCACTAATTAGGTGGAATATAAACGAAAGAAAGAAAGAGTTTGAAACAGGTTGTTTTTAATTTTATGATTATGCTATTCTGTTTGGTGATGTTACACATTTTTACATAATGCAAGATGCTAGGAAGTGCTCTGGGTTCAAAGTGCATCATAGTCTATAGGCTGAAGAAATCACTGCTAGGGTCTTTTGTGCATTACAGGAATACCTGTCACTTCTCCGGAAACTGCAAATATTAGTCACATACTTGTTGCATGCCTGAGCCAGACTTGAACACAAATGAAAACACGGCAGTAAGGAACTGATGGGCCTTTGGGTTCCCGTGTTCAGCAGAGCATTGTCTTACACTGACAGTGTATTCAGAGCATAAAGTGACCAATGGCCATTACAGACTAATTACTAGAACGACGATTTGCATTGTTAGATGTTAAACTTCCAGATTCTTGCAGTCTCTGTTTATTTACACACCCACCCACACCCCTTTATTTCTTTATTTGCATTGTTAGATGTTAAACTTGTAGATTCTTGCAGTCTCTGTTTATGTACACACCCACCCACACCCCTTTATTTCTTTGGGGTAAACAGGTCAGATTATACAGAAGGGAGATTAAACATGATAACTTTATGAAAATATGGCACCCCCTGTTGAATCTGATACTGAGTCAAAAATAAAAGGTAAAGGTAAAGGTTCCCCTTGACATTTTTTAGTCAAAAATAGAGTAAACCTATTTTACTCTATGGGTTGGACTGCTGGTTATTCTAAGTGTGGTTAGCTAGACATAAAAATGAAATAATGAGCCAAGGAAGAGACTGTGTGAAAAGATAAAGAGATAATGTAAATAGTTTGTATATATGAAAGTATAATAGTATGAATAAGGTAAGAAATTTGCTATAATTGTAAAGGTTCCCCTTGACATTTAGTCTAATCGTGTCCGACTTTAGGGTTCAGTGCTCATCTCCGTCTCCAAGCCATAGAGCCAGCGTTTGTTGACAATTTCTGTGGCCATGTGGGCAGCATAACTAGTCACGGAACGCTGTTACTTTCCCACCGTGGTGGTACCTATTTATCTACTTGCATTTATATGCTTTCGAACTGCTAGGTTGGCAGGAGCTGGGACAAGCAGTGGGAGCTCACTCCATTGCATGGATTCGATCTTTCAGATCTGGTCTTCTGACCATGCAGCACAGAGGCTTCTGCGGTTTAACCCACAGCACCACCACGTCCCATAGGCTATAATTGTAATGCAATATATATTGTTTTGTTATGCTATTTTGAAAGGATTGATAGTGAAATTAAAACAATTTTTAAAAATTCATTGGGGCAAATATTCAGATTTCTTAATAAAATGGTTTCAATTTTTACTCTGTTTTTGTTGATAGTGACAGTCAGCATTTGTTCTGTAATGTTTCTCCAAAACAGATGTGCAGTCAAAGGAGAGTTTGCCTTTGCCCTCTCCCTCCAGCAGAACACTGACTATAAATTCCATTTCCTGACTATGTCGTATCTTATCAATTTCTATGAATTCCAATTACACTGAACTCAATATTGGTACTTCAGTGTAAGCTAGTGACTGTTACAGTATGTCTGTAGTCATGTAGCACATGAGGTAACTTTTAGACAGAAATTGGCGTACATTAAAAAAAATTTCATAGGCATTATTTGTTGCATGCAGAATTGTGCAAATCAGTATGCAGTAGGTCTATAGAGAATTCTTTACAGTAGTTTGCTTTTAAAACTTACGCTGTTTGTGGAACAGCACAAGATTTTAGCCTATTCATATTAATGGTACCTGGAAATCCTTCAAGGCCATACATACTAGGTCATCATTATACTATTCTTTTTGTACGTCCTACTGCAGGCTATATCTCATCAATTCTCCTGTGGTAAGAGCAGAAAACCTGAGGTTTAAAGAAGAAGGTGTAAGAGATGTACTCAAGGATGTCTTCTTGCCATGGTATAATGCATACCGTTTCCTTGTTCAAAATGTTGCCATTCTGAAACTTAAGGTAGGAAGCTTTGAAGTACTGCCAATAACAATCTGTTTCATTTCATTGTTTTTATGGTACTATGACTATTACATAATTTCTTATTACAGTGCATGCAACATGCTTATCTTTTACTATTTAACTTCTTTGTTAAATAGTAATAATAATATTACCCTTCCCTTCTCACCAAAGCAGCACTCAGAATGCTTGCTTAATATTTAAGATAAAATGGAGTAATGGTTTATTTTATTTTATTTACTGGATTCAGTGATCTGTTCTGTGTACATGGTCTTGACACTGAATATTCTCTGATCTCTCCTCAAAGAAGGATCTTCTAAAATAATAAAAAAGCTCAGCCTGTTGGTTGGATTGGGAAGTCTTTCTCAAAAAAAGTTGTTACAAATTGCACATAGGCTTTGTCACCTGAAGCAGGCATGAATAAAGAACAAAAGAAGCAAGAAAGAAGTCTTTCCACCTCTCTATCTCTCACTTCATTCTCAGGTATTTAAAGTATATTACAGAAGTGAGTACACCCCCTCATATTTCATAAATATTTTAATATATCTTTTCATGTAAAAACATGGAAGAAATGACACTTGGCTATAATATAAAGCAGTGTGTATACAGCTTGTATAACAGTGTAAATGTGCTGCCCCTTCAAACTAATGCAACACACAGCCATTAATACCTAAACTGCTGGCAATAAAAGTGAGTAAACCCCTAAGTGACAATGCCCAAATTTAGCACAAAGTGTCAATATTTTGTGTGGCCACCATTATTTTCCAGCACTGCCTTAACTCTCTTGGGCATAGAGTTCACCAGAGCTTCACAGGTAGGCACTGGAGTCCTCTTCCACTCCTCCATCACAGAGCTGGTGGATGTTTGAGACCTTGCGCACCTCCACCTTCCTTTTCAGGATGCCCCACAGATGCTCAGTAGGGTTTAGGTCTGGAGATATGCTTAGCTAGTCCACCACCTTTACCCTCAGCTTCTTTAGCAAGGCAGTGATTGTTTTTGAGGTGTGTTTCGGGTCATTATCATGTCGGAATATTGCCCTAGTTTGGAAACCCCATGTGCCTTGTTTATTATTCCCTCACAAAGGCCCACTGTTTCGGGTCATTATCATGTCAGAATATTGCCCTATTTTGGAACCCCCGTGTGCCTTGTTTATTATTCCATCACAAAGGCCCACCAATGGATTATCTGAATCTACAATACCAGCAATGCTGGCAGCACTCATAATTCCCTTTCTGCTGCCACCAATGGATTATCTGAATCCACAATACCAGCAATGCTGGCAGCACTCATATGTCTGTTTCCCAAAGCGAACCTCTGGATATGACACTGAGCACGGGCACTCAGCTTCTTTGGTCAACCATGGTGAGGCCTGTTCTTAGTGGAACCTGTGCTGTTAAACCACTGTATGGTCTTGCCCACTGTGCATCAGCACTGTTTTAGGGTTTTGGCAATCTTCCTATAGACTAGGGCTACAAGAGAATGGCTGATTGTCAGATTCCAAAAGATCTCCTGTATGGAGAATTAATGCAGAGAAAGCATCTCAGAGGGAGATCACAGCTGTGACATCAGGATATCTGCAAGCAGGATCTGAAGGCCTTAGGAATAGACCTCAAAAGATGGGAAACCTTGACATCTGAGCATTCAGCCTGGAAGCAGGTGCTGCAGCATGGCATCTCCCAATTTGAAGAGACACTTGTTCA